ATATATTTATATATATATATATATATATATATATATATATATATATATATATATATATATATATATATAATATTAATATATATATATATATAGATAGATAGATATATATATATATATATATATATATATATATAGTAGCTGTGTATGAATACGTGCATTTGAATACAAGTATTCATCAGATTAAATGAGCACCGTAGACCACCAAAATAGCAAGTTGCAAACATATACAGGTGACCCCATCAACCTGCCCTGTCCCGCTCATAGTTACTATTATATACATGTATAGCGAACAATATTATCCCCTTTGCACTGCAGCCTGGATGATCACTGGCCTCAGACTAAACTTGAATGTATCTTAGAAACACGTAGAATAAAATCTATATAATACATGGGGGTGTGAAAACATATATCCCATTCATATGTTATAAAGGTTCACAATAACACCTACCATTCTCGGCAGCTGGGATCGTTATGTACGACAATAATCGAAGATACACACAGACAAAGGTTTGACGGTTCCTTATATTATTTACCTCTGATTCAATATGTATAACTATGTATAACTATGGCTCCCACGAATCTTCTACACATCATGCCATTTAGCACTAACAATAGCGTTCACGCAACACTCTGGTCGAAGAACATAGGCATACCTGTTATCCCACTGGCGTGACTCATTCTGTGTAGTCGAGATGTTCAAGAAGACGCGTAGGTTGGCTACAATTGACTGTGCTGTGTGCTATGCCAATCACAGTGGCCTAAACTCTATACTATGCTGACACAGCTACTGAATAAGTATGTAGTATTTACATACACGACTCATATCCGAAAGTTATAAAACTCCTCCCCTGAAACGGGAATTATCATAAATAACAATTATTTTTAAGAGAAAACAAACAAAGAACACGTCAAATCGGCTCTACGGCTTTATTTTTAACTTTTTAAAACTCTGCCAAATCTGGCAGTCTATTTGTCGTTCAAACCGTATCCAAAACGTTGAACACTATTGTCAACGGTTTCTAGAGTGAGCACCATGTATATTTAGTGGGCAGCTTTCAATGAATATGTACTGCATATTTATAAACCGTATCACACGAATTGATTTTATATATAAAAAAGCCCTTTATTTTAAGCAGTGAACTGTTTTGTATTGATTACAAAAGTCAATCCGTATCTAAAACGGGGAGCTCTATGTTTTGTTTACAAAAGCCACTTATAAAAGTGATGACTCGCATCTATTATTAGAAATAATTTTTTAATCCAATCAGAATCGTAAGTTGAGATATATTTTTTCGACTCTTTTCCAGAGAGTGGAGCATTTCAGCAAAACAACAACACCTCCCCAAGAGTCCCAGATTTACCGATATCTCTATTAATAATTTACACAGTGTCAATATGAATCCGAGCACACCGACACGACACACCTACACAAACCAGATGTCTCGATAAGCCGTATAACCTCTCTACATATAAAAGACATCTCTTGAAAGACTCATGAAGGCATATTGACTATCTATTACGATATCCTCCGCGTAGACGATAGTGAAGGGAAGACCTCCCTCTATCAGTAACAGCTGACGAGTGGGAGCCCATGAGCTAGCATAGAAACTGCATATTTTGAACACGAAAGGAACAACCAAAGTCGTTTAAACGGGATACAGCAAATCAACGTCAAGATGAATATGCTATCGGACTACTGGAATTCTATTCCCGTAAGTATTGTCATGTAGTAACTTGAATAGTAGCAGAATGATTCTAGCCA